CGCCTACGTTACGGATCAGATACGGCCGGTCGTCTCCAGTATCGATGTGAGCCTGTACGAGTTCTACAGTTTAGCTGCTATGGGTTTAATATAAAAAAAAAACAACTACCGCCATCACTGGCCTGGGCACCAGATCTGTGATCTAATTCGGAGTCGCCATGTGCGTTGCACCTCTCTGTGTGCTACCATCCCCTCGAGCTACAGTGCCGAGCAGAGGGGTGGGGTGTCCCTCACTGACAGCACCGCCTACCCGTAACCACCAGGAAAGCCACAGGAGCCTTGGCCAATTAAAACCCTACCATCTGCAGCAATCAGCCAATTGTGTGCCACCACAAGCAGCTGGATCCCACGATGTCTGGCTCACACAGCTCACCTATGCTCAGGCTTTACTGGTTGAGCTACTTAGGAGCCCCATGCAACAGTGTTTTAATACAGAATCCAATAATCCCATACAATAAGGTGCAGGTTATCCTGGATCCCTCTTGCATATGAGACACAGGTTCGGGTCACAGGCACACATCTCTTTAAACACAGTGAATCTGAAAAGGCACATTTTCATCCACGATCACCGACAGAATCTGAACCCTCTTCTTAAATGTAAAACGCGTCGAGACCCGCATTTTGTTAAGTGTATTAATAAACGACCGGGAGAGAAGAACAGCACTCACCAGGTAGGATGAAAAGCCATTGCTGCTGGTTCGGTCCAAGCTGAAACCAAGCTTGAAAAAGAAAAAAAGAAGAAAAAAAAGGACTTAAAAAAAAAAGAGCAATACAGACAAATTTCCAGTGATCACCGCTGTCAAAGGCAGTTACCCTCTGCTTATAAACCATTGTTCTTTAAAACAGAATATTCGCACAGCTTCCTAAGTGTTTTAATCTATTTCACTCTTCAGGATCACCCTGAATTCGTTGCCATGGAGTGAAGGCCAAGACGACACTTGTTCCTAGTACAACTAGCAAAGAGGCAAGCACATCCTAGACAAACTTTGGCCTGTTCTGTTTGAATATATTGAACTGAGACAGCTAACAAATGAACCCAAGGAAACCTGAAGATTTCGTTCAAACCTGGTTTCACAGGCCAATAAAAGCTATACTCCAAAGCTCGTTCACTTGAAATAAAGTGATGGGAAATTGCTAACTGGGGTCTGCAAACATTCAGAGAAAATAAACCACTCAATACACTGACTGATCATACTGACTTCCTATTAAAGGCATTTCTGGGAGAGCAAGGAATTGGGAAAAGCCCATATATAGCACAAGCAAGATGACAAAAGAATGAAAAAAGCTCATTGTTCTCCCTCTCAAACCCACGCTGAGACGTTCAAGTTCAATGTCATTATACTCATACACAGGTGTATAGTATAATGAAATGCTATTTAGCTAGCTCTCAGGCGATAAGTAGCACAAAAAAACAACAATACAATTTTATAATAAAAGAAAGACAGAGACAACAGGCAGTGTGCAAAACAACGACAGGTACTGTGAAAAACAACATCAGATGTGCAAAAACATGCATCAACAGAATGAAATAAAGGAGAGAAAATGTTGTACCGTGGAGCTGTCGATCCTGTCAATGCTCACACCATTCAGGG